ACCAAAAACCCAATTAAAATTTCTTGCGGGATTACATGGTAAACATACATTCATGATCCACCAAAGTAACGACACTGTTTACCTTGTATCCACGCGTGAACTGAGCGCTGAAGCAAATTAAATCTTCAACAAGGCGCGGTGTTGTCGGAGAAATTTCTCCGCTTGAGCACAGCGTCTTACAATTCGGTCTCCAGTGCAGTACTACTACTACTACTAATAATAAAAAAAACTAGATACCCGCTTTTCTCGCAGATAATTTGTAAGCAAACAGTACTTGTGTATTTCGCTGGTTGTCACACAGGGAGCAAAAACGCATGCCAAGCTTCAACGATTCACACCAAGTTTGTTTACACCTATGGGCCAATAAGAGAGAAAGCTGGTGCAGGTGTTTTTGGTTTCAGTTGAATAATTTGTCGGGGCCTTATAGCAACAAACGCCGCAGCGTTGGAAACTTCAGACGCAATTAAACGCCTCCGAATTATACAGTTTAACCCTCTCTGTATTTCATCGATATCATCAAGGATCGTTTTGCAAAAGTGGTAAATGGAATAATATCAATTCTTTTACCGTCTATCCAAAGCGATATTTTCCTCATTCAAAAAAATAATAAAATAGCCGAGAAAGTGACCTAAGAATTCAAGTTCTATCAGTGTAACGCAGCCTCTAATAAATCTCTAACTGCCGTCTGTCTAGCTTGTAAGCAGGCTCTCGTGTTTCAAAGAAAAAAAGAAACATAGGTTTCAAAATTTATATGGCGCGAATAACCCGGATTTATCAAATTAAAGAATGATTTATTGTGAAATGACCGAAGACAGGCTTGATTTAAGAACGATCAGAAATTGCAACTCAATGAAGGGTGATTGAGATTTGAACCCAACACTTCTGAAATAATGATCTTTTTTAAAAGAATGATTTCCAAAAGCTGGCTGAGTAATTCTATGTCTCTTTTTAGCAAACAGGGCAAACTTATAATTACCTTGAGAAGGCAAAAACCCTGACAACAAGCACGTCAAACGAATTAAAATGAGTAACTATTCCAGCTTCAAGCCATGCATTGTGCTTGTGTTATATACTTAGCAAGACACTGAAGACTATGCTCACATTACAAGGTGGGGTAACTCAATGGATTAGCAGCCAACTCAGGACAATGTTGGCCTGAAAGTGATTCCTTAGCAAGGAAAACACCCCAAGATTCACCCTGCAGGAACAGGTTACCTCAATCAATCCTCTTAGTTTCCTTCCTACCTACATGGTCATGGTGATTTCCAGTCAAAGGGTCAGAATTCTGTTAACCCTTTTCCTACTTAGAGTGACTAGCATCTAATTTCTCCTTACAATATCACCCTCAAATCACTCATGAAAGTCACAATCAACAATTAAAGGGGCTCTTGACTGTTTAAACAATTCTCCTAATCAGCACCTAGATAAATGTATCGAGAACAGTATGGAGAATATGCATACTGATGTTTGGGTGTAAAGGGTTAAAAAAGGGCTAATAAAGGGTTGCCTTCTCGAGATAGAGATTTTTCAAGTCTTTCAGATTAGGCATAAGTATTTTGTTGAAAAAGACAAAAAAAAAAACAAACAAAGAAGATGAAATAAATAATAGAATCTATATAGCCTGTGATGCAGGTGTCTTATAAGGGCAAGTTTATATTTTTTAAGCTTGCACTGGGCGTGAAATTAACTTTTTTTTTCTGATAGCCACTTGGCTCCTAAATTCTTCAAAGTGGTAGCCAATTCAAAAAAAAGTTGGTCGCCATTTTCAAAGACAAACAAAATCTTTCTTTACGCTGTCAGCGTTCTAGATAGACCCTCCAAAATTAAGTTAGGGAAAAGATCTTTAACGTGCTACAAAGTGGACACTAGGATGTATGATATACAACCTTCAGGCTCATCTAAATCCAAGATGGCGTCTAGTTATCGATCGAGATACATGTGCTACGTTTTGGAAACAAACTTAACGAGGAAGTTCGCCGCGGATTTATCTTTGCAAATTTATTTAATTCACTATATCTCTTGGTAAGGTTATGATGAAACGTTGTAGTCGCCAATTTGGCGACTAACTTTCAGGATTTGGTCGCCAAAGTGAAAAATTTAGTCGCATTGGCGCCTGTATAAGGCGCAATTTCACGCCCTGTTGTACTCATTTATCCAGTTAACTGTGTTTCACCCTTTAACTCCCACAAGTGAGTAAAATATAACTTCTCCCTACAACATTCATACACTGTTCAGCAAACAGGTAATAAGAATACTCAAACTTGTTAGGTATAAGCTGTGAGCTTGATCTAACATTAAATTCTTGTAACTTGTTTACAAGGAAGTGTGTAGCAGCTAAGGGGGAGAAATAACAATCTAATCTTAGGAGTTAAAGGGTTAAGTTGACAGTGGAGGAAGTAGCTGGAAAAGAAAAGGAGTAATTTTGACAGTTCCCTCTCTCTCCTTTTGACCATCACTCACCCCCTTAAAACAAAGGCAGGCTAAAATTTATCAGGTGCCATTTTTTCTCTTCAAAGGGAAGACATACCACAATGGATTTTTTCTTCAGTTGTTTCATCATTATTTTAAATTACTATCAACTGTAGAATCAAGCTGTGAATTTAAAATTGTAACATTTTGACTGCAATGCTGCTACCCTGCAGACCAACATGTTTTGGTTGTTCACACTTCAATTTCTCTTACAGCTGTCATTTATTCTCTATCCCTATAAATACATTTTATTTTCCCAGCCATTTTCCTCAGGATGCCAATTCTTGATCCTTTAAGTCCCACTAGTGACCTAGAGAGAATTTCTTCTCACACTATCAGTACAATATATAGCAGACAAGTTATGAGAATAGAAAAAAATATCAATTTGGGGATTATTGGTCGATCTAATTCCAAATTCTCCACACTAACATCACATAAATTGTATGGCAGACAGTCAGGAGAATTACTAATGCAATCTTAGGAGTGAAAGGGTTAAAGCCTTGCCAGTTTCCACCAACTCATCTAATCACACTGCCTAGCCCTTTACAAGAACAAGGCAAAAAAAACATTTTAACCAAGAAACCTGCTAATGTATGGTATTCAGTTGCACATGCAAGAACTGGAACTCACTTCATAGGGTAAAAGTCCAAATGATGTATTTTGGACCTAACTCTGAGAATATTTTGAATATTTTGCCTGACCCCTGGACTGCACCACCACACCATAATGCAGGAACCACCTACTAAGTGCTTTTCCTGTCTTAGTACCACTGCATGGTTATTTGCCGATTTCTACAACATTTGTGTACCTTGATCCGAGTGTAATTAACCTCAAAAAAAAAAAAAACAGCAATGCTAAGGTCCACATATTTTTAAACCTTTACAAAGTACTTGGCTTGAAATGTTTTTCATCTCTAGTAGATTTTGGGCTTTGAGAATATCATCTCCTTAGCATATAACCTTTCTCAATAACACTTGTCACCACTTGAAAATTATAATCATGAAATCAAGGACTGGTGTTGCATTCAAGCATTTAGATATCATTCTTTTTTCATAAAACCTTTAAAACAAACATCTTTCATAAATTTAAATACATGTGTATGTACACCCATGTACAGATGTTATGTTGAATAATACTTCAAAATATTCTAATCACTTGGATGTGTTGTCCATTGATCTGATGAGTGGAAAATGAAATTGGATTTTCACATGTTTTTAATATCCACAAACACAGACAACTCTTGTGCAAACTGAGACAACTCTTGTGCAAACCGAGACAAAACGTTCTGCATGATTACATGATTAATGTAAGCAAATGAATATTACCTATGATGTGTCATACTAGTGTCATGTGTAGAGCTTCAAGACCCCCTTTACAAAATTTTTTCCAAAATTAGCTCAGTTTTTAGCATGCCGACATATGCTTTTCCTGTTTTTTAAAACCCGTTGTGACACATGAATCAAAATTACCCTTCGGTGTCCCAATAATTCTGGTGACAAATCATCGCAACATACATTTAACATTATTTAGTATCACACAGATTTGAATAATGCTACTTGTTTCAAACAGTCTTCTCAGTAGATGACCAATGTTTACGATCACAGGAAATTTAAGGTGTAGACCTTAGCCTTGAGATAGACACGTGGGAACACAATCACAACCGGTACATGTGATATGTATTTTCATCATTGGTAACATTCTTAATTTGTCTCTCTAGAAAATCCATGTTTTTGAGCGTCAACCGTTAAAAAGGCTCACGTAATACACAAATTTGTAAGGATCTGCTAGAAGAGACTGATTCTACTTAAGAATAAAGTTAGTTCTCTTCTACATGTACATCTGTTCTAACAGTCGCTCTACTGTTTACATTCAATTGAAGAGTCAAATCACTAACTTTATTACTCTTGATTGCTAGACTTCCATTCAAAATTTGTAAAACAGTGACCACAGAAATGCGAAATTGAACCGGCTGAGGAGATCGCATTCAAGTGATTTTACATAACGAAATCACAAGGCCGGGACACGAAAGCGATGAATAGAAGTCTAACCTTGAATGACCTTAATTATAATTGCGTAACACCATTCCATGCGTGCTCCTCATGGATGGAAATTCGTTAAAGGAAATTTTCAACCGAACGCGGCGCGCTTAATACTCTGAACAGAAAGTTAGCTCCGTTTACTGTGCATGATGCGTAGTTCTCTACAGCCATGTAAACGGAAATCAGGCGAGACGATAAGTATGAAATTACACGAAAGGGTACCAAGTTAATAGGAACGTCTATCCAATTCCAGAAGCCTCTAAACACTTCTTCAGCCCCTATTTCTACTAATGAAACCTCGGCTTACCTCTATGCAGCTTCGGGTTGAAAATATATTCTGGAGACTACCTCTCCACCACCTCTCGGAAAATTATGTGAGTGATAGGCAAGAGAGAGCAGGTTTTCTAATAATAACAAATGGCTGGTAGAGCTCGGCTTAATAGGCATAATCGCCTCACTCTGATTGGTTAATGTACAGTGGCGCGACAGATTCACGAGAAGCCCTCCAGGCCCGCTTGATCGAATGGACTGGCTTCCAATGTCTCCCCGGAAATTCGAATTCCTGCCGAGATTTTGCACCAAATTTGGCTGCAAGCAGTCGTGACTCTGGGATTTCACAACGCATAACTCCTTGGAATTTGTAGCTGGTGGGCTCTTGTTTGCATTCTTTTAGATTCTAGTTCACATCAGAGTTAACGAAGTTGAACGGTCCTATTTTTTACTTGCTTGAATGAACTTTGGATGCCCTCGAGCGGCACGTGTATGACAACTTACATATCATGAAATCATTTCTTGCGGGGCAATTTTTTTTTTTTTTTTTTTTTCTGTGCGTACTTTATTCCAGTTCAACCAACGCGATTTCATTTTGCATTTATGTCGCTGCTTTCAGACTCTGTCCCCGAACGGAAAAAAAAGAAAACCAAATTCATCTTGCTCGGATTTGATCTCTTTCAGCCATAATGAATTCCATCTACAGGTCAGTAATAATTAGAGTTTGTTTTGGGCTTAGTGTTGATACAAAAAAGGGCTGCATTTGTTTGTTTAAACAGTCCGCGTGTAAATAAAGAGTGCGATGTTACATCTAGAAATTAACAAACCAAACCTTTGACTTTTTTTTCTTTTTTTTTTTTTTTTTCTTTTCACCCACTGCATTCTCTACCCAGTTGTTTCATTCATGAGACCGCTTTTTTTCAAGAACTGATTTTACTGCCGATCCTAGGCTTGCAAACACGCTCTCTCACTTGGTCACGGAGCTGCAAGAATTTTATGCAAGGGTCGATGCTATTAGCGGTAAGTTAAGTTATAGAGTTACAGTAATTCTTCAAGTGCCTAATGTTATTTTTGAAATGATTCTTGCAGATTTTCTGCTGAAGCCAGTTCATATTTATTTAATTTTTTTGGCTTGATTATAAACAAATAACCCTCAGGTATACACTACCCAAGAGTGTATAGAAGAGATTAAAAATTCCCCTCAGGTATACACTACCCAAGAGAGTTAAAGTGATTAAAAATAACACTCAGGTATACACTACCCAAGAGGGTATAGAAGAGATTAAAAATTACCCTCAGGTATACACTATCCAAGAGGGTATAAAAGCTATTAAAAATAACCCTCAGGTATACACTTTCAAGAGGGTATGGAGGAGATTAAAAATAACCCTCAGGTATACACTACCCAAGAGGGTCTAGAAGAGATTGAAAATAACCCTCAGGTATACACTACCCAAGAGGGTAAAGAAGGGAATAAAAAATAACCCTCAGCTATACACTACCCAAGAGGGTCTAGAAGAGATTGAAAATAACCCTCAGGTATACACTACCCAAGAGGGTATAAAAGCGATTAAAAATAACCCTCAGGTATACACTACCCAAGAGGGTATAGAAGAGATTGAAAATAACCCTCAGGTATACACTACCCAAGAGGGTATAAAAGTGACTAATAACAACCCTCAGGTATACACTACCCGTGAGGGTCTAGAAGAGATTGAAAATAACCCTCAGGTATACACTACCCAAGAGGGTATAAAAGTGACTAATAATAACCCTCAGGCATACACTACCCAAGAGGGTAAAGAAGGGATTAAAAATAACCCTCAGGTATACACTACCCAAGAGGGTATAAAAGCGATTAAAAATAACCCTCAGGTATACACTACCCAAGAGGGTAAAGAAGGGATTAAAAATAACCCTCAGCTATACACTACCCAAGAGGGTCTAGAACAGATTGAAAATAACCCTCAGGTATACACTACCCAAGAGGGTATAAAAGCGATTAAAAATAACCCTCAGGTATACACTACCCAAGAGGGTATAAAAGCGATAAAAAATAACCCTCAGGTATACACTACCCAAGAGGGTAAAGAAGGGATTAAAATTAACCCTCAGGTATACAATACCTAAGAGCATATGGAGGAGATTAAAAAAACCCTCAGATATACACTACCCAAGAGGGTATAGAAGAGATTAAAAATAACCCCCAGGTATACAATACCCAAGAGGGTATGGAGGAGATTAAAAATAACCCTCAGGTATACACTTCCCAAGAGGGTATAGAAGAGATTAAAAGTAACCTTAAAGTATACGCTACCCAAGAAGGTATGGCAGAGATTAAAAATTTCCCTCAGGTATACTCTACCACATTTGGACTGATTCCACATTAACTTTTCTTCAGCACATACCAGTGCATTTTGGGGTCGAGATTGGATCCCATAAATTTAGAAAGGTCAGCCAATCAATCGAAGACTCAGGCCTACATAATGAGATTGCACCAAGGGATTCCAATCCAATATTTATTGTACTTCTTTGTTGTAATTTGCACCAAGGTGAAGTATTAATTGTTAAGTGAACCTCTAACTTATAATCAACAGGTTTAAGTAACCATGTAGACACCTACCGACTGCAAGTGTTAATGCAATTCTCAACATTGTAGAATGCATGCTGCAAATCTTTTCAGGGCCAAAGCTCTTAATGATCACTTGCAAGGTTATCAAGGTAACCAGATGACTCCCAAAGCAAACTCTGTCATCTTATTTCAGGTTTTCATCCTATTTTTTCAGATCCAAGAACTAAGAAATGGCTCTTTGTACCATCCATATGGTCACCCATTATAGCAGTTTTAGTTTACTGGCTTCTTGTTTGGCTGCTCCCAAAGATTATGAGGTCCAGAGAGGCTTTTCAACTCACAAGCTGCTTAGTAATATACAATGCTGCTTTAACACTTCTGAATTTATACATCTTTGTTGAGGTAACAGGGAAAATTAAATCTTAGTTGCACCATACTTTAATGTCCCAGAAATCATATAATTTTATCTTGAATATATTCCTACTTGCAGTAATGTTGTAACAGAAAAAAGGAAAAAGGAAAAAGACAAATTCAATGTGATAGCATTGTAGGGTATAGAACAAGTATACAAAATTAGTATATAATTCTCATTTTGAAATTTTGGAATTTTTTTAATTAAAAGTAACAATATTGAATTCATGCAATTCGTTTTTCTGCAGGTCTTGGTTGCAACTACAGATGCTGGTTACAGTTATTCCTGTCAAGAGCTCTCGATGACTTATAAGCCAAAGGAGATGAGGGTATGTTATTACAGATTCCTTTTTGGAAACAAAAAATTGATCACCTCTACCAATTTTTGCATAAAATGTGATGATTTAGAGCAGACTCCACCCTAGATTGAAAAGACTAACCAAAGGAGATAGGATGAGAAAAAAATCAAACTCCACCTAGAAGCAACTTTACATTTAAATTAACTTTTGCCAGAAAAATTATGGCTTAATGGTTAATGAGCGGGACCCCTGGGAGACGTAGCTGGCTCCTCTCTCCACCTTGTAAATTGGTACAGGTTAACCCCTAAGCTGCCAGAAGTGATAAACAAGTAACTTCTCCCTACAATATTCATCCACTATCTAGCAAACAGGTAATGAGAATACTCAAACTTATCAGATAGATCTTGATCTAACATAAAATCCTCATAACTAACTTTTAGTTACAAGGAAATGTATTGCAGCTAGAGTGGAGAATTGATAATCAGATCTTGGCAGTTAAAAGGTTAATTGTCAGGGAAAGCTGACAAAATGCTTTTGATAGACAAACATTCCATCCCAAGAGGGGAGTGGTAATACTCTTAGTCACTTCATGCTAAAGAAACCGGGATAAACTCTGGCTGGATGGGCCACTTGGCAGAAGTGAAGACTTTCGAGACAAACTGTGTTGAAATTAAGAGATCCTTGCAGCTAAGAACACTACTGAAACGAGTAGTTGTAAATAGGACCTGAAAAAAATTCAGGCCCGTACGGGATTTGAACCCATGACCTCTGCGATACCGGTGCAGCGCTCTACCAATTGAGCTAACAAGCCAACTGGGAGCTGGTCAATGAATTGGGTACAAATAAACATCCAAGTGAATGAAGATTTTAGATATATGAATTTATATATGAATATATGAATTTCATATATCTAAAATCTTCAAACTGTGTTATTTCTTGTCTCTGAAGAAACTGTGGTGCTGTGTCAATGGGAGAGTATTTAAAGGGAATTTGGTATTATCACATAAATTGATAGCATAGATTAGTCACTGTTAACCCTTCAACTCCTAACATCTGATTGTTAATTCTCCCCTCTAGCTGCTACACATTTCCTTGTAAATTAGTTATGAGAACTTGGTGCTAGATCAAGATAGTAGCTTCTACCTGATAAGTTTGAATATTCTCATTACCTGTTTGCTGATTTATGTAGGGATATTATAGGGAGAAGTTTCATGTTAATCACGTCTGGGAGTTAAAGGGTTAAGAGTTTCAAAGCTGATATTTTGAGTGCTAGCACTTGGTCAGCACTTTAGCACTTTGCTCTGATGAAGAGCTAACACTTGAAATATCAGCTTTGAAGCTCTTAATAGTGGCCAATTTATGTTATCAACTCAGTTGATGATACTAAATTCCCCTTTGTTACTTCTTATGGGTTAATACTTACTTGTTCATTTTTCTTTGAAGATTGCCTCAGTTCTTTGGTGGTTCTATTTCTCCAAAATTGTGGAGCTTTTTGACACAGTAAGTTGATGCTCTTTAATCTTTTAAACCCTAAAATCAATATGCATCTTCCCCATACTGTTCTCTCTACATTTACTAATGTGCTGGCAAGGAGAATTTGTTTAATAATCAAGAGGTTCTTCTGTTGATTATCATTTCCTTTATTCTCATGACCTTAATGTTTGATTCTGGGGTGATATTGAAAGGAGAAATTAGATTCTAGTCACTTTCAGGGATTAAAGGGTTAAGGGCTCTTTGCAAGATTGTGCATGACAAAAAATTTACCATTCTTAAGAAATGTTGTGGGAAATTTGAATGCTCAATTTATTATATGCTCCTCATTCAAGAAAAGAAACGCAAACAGAACACTCTGACTCAAAACGATTGAGTTCTTCATTAACACTCTCTACATTTCACATTGTAGAGTTTTTAATCACATGCAACAAGACTTTCACATGCATTCTCAGTTCATGTAAAGAACTCACAGTGATCGGACTTTTAGAATTTGAAAATAATGAACATATCATCAAAATATCATTCTAAATTATTATGGCTGATTTTTATTCATAATTGTTTGCCTAAAGCCTCTGCTACTGGAGTTAAAACTTGTTTTGAGTTTTAGTTTTAAAGGCCATGTTATATTACATTACCAGTGCTAGAGATTTGACTGTAACTCTCTAACTTTGGACATAATGAGTATGTCATGTAGGCACACAGTATTCAAACTGCGTGATCATGCAGGCTGTAAGGGGTCAATATTTCCTAGAATTTTGTTCTTTTATGTCAATATTTTTTGCTTCAATTTTAAGTTTTTTCTGGAAAGTGGCATTCTGTAAAGACTCAAAATGACAGTTTTCACTGAATTTAAAAGACAAAAAATAGATGTTGTTATTAAGCTTATTTGGAAAATTTGTTATTGTTCAAACAAATATCGTTAGCTAGTCTTTGCATCAACAATCTTCAGATCAGGGCTAATTGTGGTTTCTTTTTTGGCAGATGTTTTTCCTCCTTCGTAAGAAGAACAACCAAGTATCTTTTCTTCATGTGTACCACCACACAACAATGGTTTGTCTGTGGTGGATTGGAATCAAATGGGTTGCTGGTGGGCAGTGTAAGTTGCATCTCATTGTGTTGGTAAGAATGGGAGGGGAATATGAATGGCATTCATCAGTGGACATTCCACGAGGTGGCTCTTCTTGTCCACTGTTTCCAGGTTGAATTAGAATTTGAAATGTTGGTTCTTTATAGAGAGGAAAACTGGAGGAACCAGAGAAAAACCCTCTGAGCAACGATAAGAACAAATGACAAACTCAACCCACATGTGGCACCAGAGGCCTGTTTCTGGTAACTTAATAGGACAGTAAAGCTGCTCTGTTTTCATTTCAAAGATTTTGAAAATTATACAAGAAAAAATATAAGCTAAAGAAACAAAATGAACAGGCTAGGGTGCCAGAACCAGCTTCTCCATCCTTTAAATTTTGATTTTAAAGTGTGGCTGTGAGCTTGTTAAGTTAGGGGTACTTCTGAGAAAAGGACCTTTGGTCAAGGGAAATCAAAACTGGGACACAGTGGTGAGAGGTGAGTGCTCTCACCATTATGCCATGCCAGTTCTGTTGATTTGGTACACAATATTACAATATTTTTGGGAAAAGCTCAATAAGAATAGCTGCCATTTGGCATCATTGATGATATGCTGGGTTATTTCCTAGCTGACATCATCTGTTCTGAAGTGAAAATAGTTTTGGTCCCAGCTAGACAAATATCATATGAATTGTCCATTAATAGAAGCTGTTGTGTTTATTGTCCTTCAAATAGTTTATACAGCACATGTTACAAAATGCAGGAGACTTCTAAATTCAGGAGTATGGTTACTTTTTAAAGTGACTACATGAACAAAAAAGTTTTCTCTAGTTTTATAGTTACTGTAAAAGAAAATTGTTTTCCATCTTGAATCAACTTTTGAATGAAAGGTTTGACCATTGGGGAATATCATCAGGAAATAACACTGGATATCCCCCATTTTTAGCATCAGACACAAGTCAAAATATGAGATAGGTTATTCTTGTCAAGTTACACTTTGTTAAAAAATTTAGCAGCTTTATATTCCCAATGGTTTAACAAAATATTGCATCATTTTTTATAAAAATAAAGAGGGATTACACAGTTGCCCTTAAAAAAAACAGTAATTATTCTGGTTTTTTTCCCCAATATGCAGCCTTTCTTAGTGCAATGATTAATTCTCTGGTGCATGTATTCATGTACACATACTATGGGATGTCGGCTATTCCAAGTCTGCGGAAATACCTTTGGTGGAAAAAGCATTTGACACAGTTTCAATTGGTGAGTCTTTTCTCCACCATACTTATAACTAACCATGATGTTGTGATTTATCGACTGTGTAACACCCTTCCATAGTTAATATCAGCTTGTATTTTGTTTTGTCTCATTTTAAGTTGAACTTAGAATGCAATCTTGCAGCATTGTCTGTTGAGTCTTGCAATAGAAGCCTGATATTCTGGCCTCTGTAACTTGTTGTAATCGATGTAGAATCATAATTGTGCTGTAGACAGGGATTTCAATAACTCCTGTTAAATCTTTAACCCCCATGAGTGACCACGATAGAATTTCTCCTCAGGATTTATCATTACAATATCAAGCAGATAACTGAGAGCAAAGAAAAGTATCCATAAGGGGATCATTAATTAATCCAATACCCAATTCTCCAAACTAACAGAATAAGTAATGGCATGTGGGAGTGAAAGGTTGAAGGGGTTGCTGGTCTAAAAGCCAACTGTGCATCAAGGGAAAAACCCAAATGCTTGCTCCCTTGCTGAGGAATAGGTCATTACTTATGTAGAGGGAAGGAGGGTAAAATTTGTTGGAAAGATCAAAATTTCTATAATTCCCCCCCCCCCTCCTTCCAGGCCATGCAAATAGCAAGTGACCCCTCCCTCTTTATTCAATATTTATGATGACCCTCTCATCTCCTTCTGTATCTCCCCTTATATGCCTAGTAATTATTAAATTTCATGTCACATACAACCATAAGATGCTTACTTTGCGTAACACCCAACTTGGATAATGGACCACCCTTAAATATACTTCAAATTAATGACCCCCAGAATTTCTAAACAAATTTAGCCACCCCCCTCTTGCCAATCTGTCAATCAATCCCCCCCTATTTTTATCTCCTTTTCCCTATACATGAATAATGACCAGTTCCAAAACAGATGGTAATGAGAGGTACATCTTACAGGTGTTGGTAAACTGTCAGTATTAAGCTTTTATCGAAAGCCCTGACTATAATTTATTAATTAAATTTTGACATTTTCACTGATTTTCAGTTCTTGTTTTCTGGTGTTTAGATCCAGTTCTGTATTCTTCTGTGTCATGGTGTTGTGTCACTTCGCGCCAAGTGTGACTACCCCCTGTGGATGCAGTATGCCTTGATTGGTTACATGATCTCTTTCCTTATCCTCTTTTCAAATTTCTATGTTCAGTCTTATTTTGCTAAGAAGTTTAAGAAGCAAAAACCAATTGAAGCAAATGGAGAAATTGTAACAAATGGCTCAGCCAACTCTCTTGAAGAAAAGAAGAAACACTACTAGTCTGGGATATTTGCTAGGTCTGGTACTGTAGGCAGGGCTCTCAAGTGTCATGCAATGAGTGAGACTTACTCAAACTAATCCAGAACTATTAGTTCTCAGGCAATTAAGGTTTCTGATTTTAATTGTTGATTTTTGAACAGCAATCTGCTGCCTTAGTTAAGTAGTTATAAAATTAATGATCCCTTTGTATTTGCTTCAAACACTTTCCAACAGTGGAAATCTTGCTCTAAATAAAGGAATGCAAATGTTGGTTGCTTCCTTTTTTCAGAGTATGCCCCCTTAACTCCTAAGGTGGGTGCTGCCTGTGGTGTTTCACTCCACCAGCAAATCAACTTGAGAGCTCTTTTTATAATATAAAAAAAATAATAATAAAATAAAAACAAATCAACAGAGAGAGAAAGAAGAAAAAATCTTAATATATTAGATAAATAGAAGGCACTTTAGGTACAGCCTTATTGACCAGAAATTATTTGAGGCATGTACATGTTGTGTATTATTTTAACTTGCTTGGCAAGTGCTGCAGATTATTTTTGATCTCATTCATTCTAAAATATACACAAGGAATTTAGAAATCACCTTTAAACAGAATGCAATTCCTTTGCTCAGCTATGATCAAAGCTTTCTGTTTGAATCTTTTTGAAAATGGTGATGTTGTGGGCAGTTCCTATGTGAAGTTATTCTTCTGTAAAAAATTATTGGATAGAGGATTGGGAAGAAGTCTGATAGAGACCTGCTCTCTCACCAGATTTCAATAAATCAGAGTATCTCCTTTCCAGTACCTTTGCTTAATGTTATCATTCCCATAGGTGAGTAACAGCTAATTTCTCCTTACATTGTTTGTATATTACCCAGAAGAGGTTTAACCCGTTGGCTCCCAGCTCAAATTTGTAATTCTCCTTAACATCAACCATACAATTCTTATGATGTTATTTCAGAGAATTTAACATTGAATCAACTAATTATCCCCAAATTGATATTTTCTCTATTCTCATCACTTATCTGCTTGATATTGTATTGATATTGTAAGGAGAAGTTCTGTCTTGGTCACTCATGGGAGTTAAATGGTTAAGGAATTAGCAGAAAATAAGCCAAGAGTTATTCTAATAGGGCATTGACACAAGATAATCTCAACTGTTCTACATGGGAATGAAATGGAAGGAGCATTTAAAAGTGAAGACGAGTGAAGGGTTTGGTGAAGGTGTAATGAAAGAGGCTGAGCAAGGTTTTTCAGGATATGTCTGCAGGCCAGACTGTCAGTTTCCAGTGCTGCCTCACTGCAGCTATGAAAGTTAGGAAATAGATCCCTTTTTACCTACCCCACCTGATCTTTTAATCGTGATATTTTTTATGCAGTCAAAACAGTTGTTATTTTGGTGCAATGCACTATAGTAATGATGTGAAAGCAAAGATAAACATTTTTAGAATTATTGCAACTATCAAGAGTTTACAGGAAAGGAATGGTGGAAATAGAATTATTTCCTCTTTAAGGCAGGTGTTTATATAAATTTATTCTTAATATTGATAAATCAAAGAAATTTTATTCCACTTTTTTTTAAAAATAAATTTAGTATCTAAAAAAATATATATATGCAAATTGGGTAACACTAGAGACCAAGGTTTAAGAATGAGGACAACAGAACATTTTGATAATGTAATGTTTATTACAAACAGTTTTTTCTTTCTTTTTCATACAAAAAATATCTAATCAAGCTAAATTGTTATTTATCGTGAAAACTAATTGTCCATCACTCACAAGAAACAGTGGTAACTGTACAGTGATTTAAGCTACAGTGTTCTTAACTCATGCATGAAGCTTATCTACTTGTATCAAACTAAAATATTGCGATTATTAAATGGTCATTTTATACACACGAAACCATTCGAATCTCCTCCATTTTCTACCTGACACTTCTGACACATCAATCCATCACGGCCTGTTTCGAAGAGTCTATCACAACACTATACTTTACGTCACGCAACAACTCAAATAACGGTTGTTAGGAGAGATTACCCGAAGATGTCAGCTTCCATTTATCGTCTTCAAACGAGCCACATTACTGTATTGCCTAAAATTCAATTCGGTTTCCCTAGTGATGCAGTCAAAGACAACACAGAAATTTTTTCAAAGATTCAAAACACGAAGAGAAAATGGTTTTTAAACGTGAATGAAAATAGTAAATTATATCTTAGTTCATTTGTCCTTTTAATGAATGGTGACCATGAATGACCCATCTGTAATGAAGCTCGTCTAAAGTACTCAAACCAATCGTAAATGGATCGTGTTCCTTTTTGAACTCAATCTATTATCGTTTTGCCAAAACGATGAAAGCTGCTAGCACACTGACATTAGCAAACGAGTCAACTAACTATATAACAAACTTTCTCTCGCTATAATTCACTAATAAATGTGAAAAAACCTGGAAAAATTGCCACAAAAAATGAAAGGAAACCAAATCTTTACCCTTCGAAATCCACCGCCTCCGGGACAGTTTTGTACTTTGTTCCAAAATGCTGAATTCGAATGTAGTACCGAGTGAAATGCAAATACGTAGTAAGTTATTGTAATAGTTCTATTTACACGAAGGTTTGCAACAAAAGCACAACTTTTACAAACACAACGAGACAAAAAATAGTCGATTCTCCAGTCCTGGTGGACTTTTAAGTGTTGAAATTTTAGACAACGCATCAGAGGTGCGCTGTATTTTGCCCTTTAACACGAAAATGTCCGCTAACCTTCACCTATCAGTTTGTTTTCTTTATAAAAGGTTCCTAGTTTGATTCTTTAAATTGGAGAGGAAAATGAACTCTCAGTCGCTAAGATCCTCTGGTGCAAGCCGACAAAGCGACTGAATTTCACTTCATAATTAATTTTTTGGGAAGTTATACGCGTTTCTGTAACATCCCCTCCAACAGATTGGACCTTCCCCCTAAAAGACGATAGTGCCTCGACATGACGCTACAAATTGAAACAAGACTAAAATACGGTTGTACCGTGTTTGTGTATTTTTGTACAGGTTGTGTTTGAAATTGAAAAATTGAGGAATTTTTAAGTTAAACTTTGAGGAAAGTGATAGGATTCACTAACATCATTCATTGACGAGATTTCTGTACATTCAACGCTTTCTCTCAAATATTTTTCCGGGGGGTCTGATGGGATGTCACAGATTCGCAAACAAATAAACAAGTTTGAGAAATCACAAATTCATATTGATAAAGCTACACTACTTGTACAAAAACGTTTCAAACTTTTTTTTTAACCGTCCTTCTTCATAAAGCTGAAGTTACATTCTTTCATCGTATCCGGAGCGAATTTGTAGATCAAACGCTGTCCAGGGACACGTTCTAGAATCTTCCTCTCGTAATAATATCGCAAAGCACGGCTCATCTTTTCGTAATTCATGTTCCTGCGGTTCTTCCGTTGACCCCACAGCTTAGCAACGGCTCCTGAGTTGACAAGCCTGAAAATGCCCTCCTCGCGCTCGATCCATGTAATGTAGCGAGGACAGGTATCCTTGTTTTCCAGTAACTCTTTAAGAAATTCCCACAGGTGCAGAGATCTTGTCTCTGAAATAAAAATACAATTTTATTGAAATGACGCACATTAACACTACCGTTGCCAAATTTTGAGAGAACCTGCAAGTTTACTTAACGTTAATTTGCTACTCTCCTATGTAAACAAGCCTACATTTCTTGTTGGTTTAATGAAATTGAGCCAACAAAATACAGTTTGACGTCAGAGGAGTGTTTGAACAGGCACGAACAAAACATTTTTTCAGCCAATCAAAAGGCTCGCCTCTGCTATATTCGAAATTTTATAAACAGACGTTACAAAGTGTCAACAGTGGTAAATTACTAAATTTGTTGTTTTTAACTTTTTTGTACCCTTAAAAAAATAATATAATGAAAAAAAAAGAGAAAATTTTGAATAACTTACGTTTTCTTCGGCCAACACGGGGTTTTGCACCTGGCGAACCTGAGGTAGAACTTTTTGTGGAAGAGTCACTTCGGCTGTGGTTTCCTTTTATGGAGAGAGAACAAAATTAGAGGTGAGTAAAGAAGAACATTCAACACAGTCACATAGAAACCTCTGTGATAAATCAACTCACCATCTTTGGCGTCCTCAGTGCCAGAATCTGTTGAACTGGAGCTGTTCCTTCTTCGTGCTACAGGAGAGTCGCATCCCCTCTGCGACGGGGACCCCCTGGGGTATGGGGACGTTGGGGGTGATGGAGATACCCGTTCTTCTCCATAATCACTATCCCCGCACGATTTTGGGGAAAGGTTTGCCGGAAAAGGCACTTGAGACTCAGCTGGTGTCGGCTTCATAGGGGGTTGGACCCCGTTTGACGGTGGCTTCTTTTGACTGACAAACGAAGTATCTAATCTAGGTTTCTTTACGTCAGGAGGTAAGGGTCCGTTCTCGCCGTGGCTGCCAGCGGAGAAGGGCTCTTCATAACGCGCACCTCGGCTGGTGCGTTCCTCAGAAGATGCTTTCTTTGTTTGCGATGCCTGATCAAACAGAGGGTTGCTTTTCTCTAAGAAACTGGCCGCCAAAGAAAGTGTCTGCAGTGAAGACCTAGGGAAGTTGTCCGGGGGGCTGCTGGGGGAGGGAAGATCAGGAGATTTGATCAGAGGGGGCACCGGAGGGAGGTCTTTGTTCCTGGTAAGTTCTGGCAAGGAGCGAGGGGGTTGACGCGGTGGAGGAAATCCATTAAGGGATGGAACACATGGCGGGTAACATCCATTTGGAGGCCACAGGCGAGAGGCACAGAAGCCGTTGGCACCAGAGTTGTGTTGTGCTGCATAACTGCCAACAGAGTAGCCACGAGTGTGGGCTGAAATGAGAAATTTATCAAACTTAGACCACGTGTGGCGTGATTATTCTAGTGGTGTCTTCCTGTCCAAAAGGACTAGTGTCAGCGGAAGTCTTCAATTGTTACTGACTTTATCAAAACAAATTCACTCGAAGTTCACTATGATCAAAGGCCACGGCATGTTTCGAGCTTTGTTTGTTTTTATCACACTGTGAGATGTTCCTTATCACGGGATAACGTAAACATGCGACTTTCATGAGCTCGTGGACTTCAACTCATGTCAAATTTTCGTGAGCTTGTTCGTACATTTTGATGCAGGACTTGAGATCTCTCCGTTTACCCAAAAGCCTGAAAATCCTGAAAAACCCTGAAATCATTTGTGGTAAATTAAGGTGAAGGTTTTTTTATCTTTGCCGGTTGGAAGCTTGCCCATTGTTTTTGTTCCGGTCTAACCTTGGACTTAGATAAACAGTCGCATGATTTAACCACAGTTAGTCATATGTGTTCGATGTGACTCGTGAAGATTCATGTAATTTTGTAGCTAAGTTCCCGATTGCCATGTAGCGTGTGTGTTGTATTTGTCAACGACAAAATTAACAAGGATCAATGCGTATCCAATTTGTGATGTCACGCAACGCACAGAGAAGCTACAAGCTACAAAGCAGACGCGTGGGTGGGGGGGGGGGAGGGGGTAGAGTGAGGTCAGGATAAGAATTAAACATTAAATCAAGATAATACTTACTCGATTGTGGCTTGGATAATGAGCCGGCAACCTCTGTAACAGAGTTGTTCTGAGCTACTGAAAGAAAGAAGACATGATTATTTCACCATAAACAATAATGAGCTTTTCCGCGCGCGATTTCTCGCTCGCACGTGTACACTTTCTTCATGTTATATCCAGCGATATAGCGTTCTTCAAATAAGAAGTCGACTGCTTGGTGCAAACACTGCTATTCGTGGAATGCAGAGTGAATTTTCGATCAACTTTTTGGCACCACAAACTTGAAACTTGTGGGCCATGTTTGTGAGCGTGTGACTGTTTTTTAACGTGGAGGACAAACTTACCGAAAGAATGGCTTGCAGAGCTTGTCACGTGGCCTGCGACTTCTTGAGAGTTGCTGTCAAAATCTAAAATAAACAAAAATCCACAGGTTCATTTATTAACCTTTATACTGACGGAATTGTGAGCTCAAATCACAACTCTATAAGGGTAGTTGGAAGAATAGGCGATAGTTTGAGGAGTCAGAACCCCTTCAAGAAAAAATTTTGAGACTTTTGTGACTGGAAAGTAAGGAAATTCGAGATTCGTCGAATGTAACGCCGTCCAATTGCATTTTTCGAAACTGCAATGTCAATGATTGTAAACTTTGCATTGGTTGCTACCACAACAAAGCGTTTTTTTGTCGTTCTAGATTTATCTGAAAAACAAGAGGCTATAATTAACACTGCCACGCTTCTAACATAAAATAGAGTTTCGTTCATTGAAGTGGAACAAAACAAACGCTGACACAAGTCACAGGTGGGTTGAGAGAACAATTTATTTAGGTATTTCCGCACCGACAGATTTGTGAGGAAAAGAATCTTTTAAAAATGAACATTTCAAAGGATGACACAGAAAATCGAGAGAAGTTCTGAAAGTTGCCTAAGAAAAGTCGTTTCAAAAAGCGTTTTATTGAAGAATGGAGATTTCAATGCATACAATTAAAAGGATGGAACCACAACACATCGAGTAACCTGAGGCAAATTCTATTCAAGAAAAGTCTTTGAAAAAACCGCTTCTCAAACCATAGAAATTGTTCCCAGTTATTGTAACAGAGGATTCCAATTAAAATTATTCCTATATGTTATTTGCATTTCCTCAAGGAAATAAAAATATGGAACACAATCTATAGGTACAGATGAAACAAATTGGGTCAGTCGATTTAAAACAATCTTGCGTGTGTAATAAACGTTGCTCTGACGTAAACATAGTAACCAGGGTTTCCTTTTAAATCCTTATTATAAAATAACACAAACATAAAGATAATTTCCCGAATTAAGAAGAGAACGAGAAATTACTTATGGGATTTTCAAACCAAATTTAAAGGTCACATGAATGTATGTATAGGTTTGCCTATACACTTTTTTTAAAGATATTGCTTGTCTGTCCAAATAATTTGGGGTATCTTCGTTGAACGGGTGGTTTATTGACTGAACACAACAAGTCATCTCAAAATGGTACATGACATTAGTAACGCCAAGCTTTCATTGATAAGCAGATGGTACTTAGAACCAGCTGTCACTAAGCTGATGAAACAAGCTAAAATCTTTGCCAAACTGCATGGCTTACTGTACATGTGCACTGATGCCAATTCAAGATCTCGCATGCAGTTCACTGTGGTGTGTTTGTATTGACACTGTTTTGGCAAATATATTGTTATGATTAAAGTACTGGCCAAACTGATAACTCATCCAGAGTACTTTCAGTCTTAATCATAAGACCTAGCAATCAATTTCTGATATCTGACACCGTTGAATTTGGAAGATTCTTCACAAAGAAAGAAAGAAATGAATGTACAGATGAAAACCTGGAAAACTTATCACAATATTATTATTGTTACACAAATTTTTCACATAAAATGCAACTGTATGCTCCCAAAGTTGTTCAAAACACTCTCTTCACACTCCAAATAACACCACAGTCCAAATGGACAAAAGATGTTCTTTGTGATGCAAAATTGAATATGTATAGTCCTAACGGTTTCAAATATCATGTTTTGCTCTTTTTCGACCCTACATTGTCACAAGGAAATGACAATATTGGATCCAGACAAAGGTTACTTCCTTGCAACCTTAGATGAAGCCACAGTCAGCCTGCGAGAGAAATATCTTGGAAGGACGCCACATACAAGTGAAAAGCAATTCACCACCGATGGTGCAATGTTTGTATCGGAGACGTGGAAATATTAGCAACACTACAGTAGCTTGAAAGCTAAACAATTAAGTTAAAAACCTGCTTGGACTTCCAAGCGAAAAGCCCTTAATTAATTGCTTTGTAAAGATCTTTAAGCCTGCGACACCGCACTTTCAAGCTGAAAAGAAGCTTTAATATTTCATCAGCTTAAATTGTCTTTTCTGCTGAACCCTGAATATTCAAGTTGCAACAAATTTTAATATATGTGCATTGTGTAGTTATGCAATATCGCATTTTCTAACGTTCCTCGCCAGAACGGAGCGAATCGCGTCCAAAACAAAATGTCTGTAGTATTAAAGAGTACAAAGGAATGTAAAAAAGAGCCATTTTCATCACGTTAGTAACAGCTTAGCCCACACGAGGAAGTGGTGAATGTTTATGCATCGCGAAGAGAGCTATCTGATTGCTTAGCCTATAGTATTACTGCGACCCGACTTTTGGCTCGCCTGTAACTAGTTGACAAACAACACCATCCATAACATCAAGATTACTGAATCAATTCGAAATATCTTCGGCCAAAAGCTACAAAAACTACAACAGAACTGCTTGAAATCGCTGATAATTTAAGACATTGCGAAATTTATGCAAATAGAAGTCATGTAGTCTCTATGAGTTCTTATCTCTTGAAGAATCTCCTTCGAAATTTTCGAAGAGTTAGCACTGATAACCGAAGGAAAAACTTATAATGTACACAAAATAGAAACACACAAAAGAATCTTCGTTTCTTTAGAGGTGACGAAGGATGTGAATCAAGAAAGAGAGACATATAGCGAAAATTGTTGACAATCCCAAGCACAAATATAAATTATTACGTCCACCCAGCCAAGTACAGCATTGTGGTTTTTTAACACAAAGAAATTACAAAATACCCTCGGCGAAAACAAGCAAAGTCAGTTAACTAAGGTCATTTAACCATAATGAGGAGGTATAACTCTTAAGCAAACAAAGAGCGGTCGACACTGTTCCCGGAAGAAACTTCGAGAGAACTGTTTTTGCTCCCGGAAATATTCAACCCAATGCGACCCGCTACGTGACAAAATAATTTTTCTTCCAAAAGCCAACTCACCGCCATCTATGTTTCCAATCACAGCATGACTATCATCCATATCGTTGGTTTCATCTGAAAGAAAGAAACGTTCGTCAGAACATACGAAAGATCGCTTGGACAAAGCTATATTTTCCTAATAATTGTGCGTGCTAGCTCATTTCAATGCCAACTGGATGGAAACCATAGCTCCCCGCAACGCGGAAAAGCATTCAGAATTAAAACCCAGTTCTTCGCGTTGTGAGAAAAAAGTCGCTAAAATTGATCGCAATTTAGAAAACTTCGACATTTTAACAGCTTTAAACGCTTACATATGCACAGCAACCACGCGCAATCGTTGGGTACAAGTTATAAAAAACGCTTCGAGACTGATCTCAAGGTATGATGCGAAGCAAACGATGAGCGGCAAGAGATACGCATGAAGATGGTCCCTCGCTCAGAAGGCCAGTTTGCCGCTAGACTTTCATCCTTTAAGATTATTAGCCCTTGAGAAACAATGAGACCTTCTGTACCATTCAACAATGTGAAAGGTTTCACAAAATATGCTAAAAATAGCGATAGACAACGCTTCGCCTTTCCTTCTCCTTCGTGGATATGGCGCGTACCAGCGCGGAAACGAACAAGCTTGTTGGTTTCACTCGTGCTACAAATCCTCATACGAATCCTTGAAATGACAAAAAAACACAACGGATTGACAACGACTTCGGGTTCGTCGATTACAGCCCAATTCAACGACCCAACGTAAAAGACAACAACTGTAGAAGATTCAACCGATCAGGAAGCTTGAGGCTTTCGCTGCGTAAAATTACACCACGAATCTTCGTCTCGATTTCCAAAATACCATCCGAAATGTACTCTGCAGTCGCTTAAAGACGACTAACCGAACAACTGGGCATAAACAAGAATTCTAGCTTTAACACTTTCACCAAACTACAGTAATGAACGGCGGCTAACAGTAAATATATCATAAAAGTTCAAATTATTGTGGGGCTGTTTCACGCAAGGTATACGAGCTAATACCAACGAAATATTATGAATCAATTCGACCTGATTACCTTTTCGCCGACGTTTCTTCTTTTTCTCCTTGCTAAATATTCTTAAAGAGCAGTAATAAGGCATTTCTAGCGTCGAATGGTTGGCGGAAAGGTCGCTTGCTTATTAGTGACTCGACATGCAGGATCGAGCAAACCACGAACAACAGTCGATAAATATGCTGGGGATTACTGAACAAAGTTACCACTGGGGGGAGGGGGGGTGGGAAAATACGATTCCTACTTTGTAGCGTTTTCTATGATCAGAGATTTATCCCTTCCACATGAGGATAATACAAAACTTACATTCACACATGAAAAATTATGATAAGCCTTGTTGAAGTGATCCAGAATACTTGAAAGCTGTGCAAAAAAGTATCTCTGAACACCCTCCCCCTAAGTAACGCTCTGAAGTCATTCAGATTCAAGTTTCACGTTGCCTATTTACGTAGCAAGACATTCAGCGAGAGATTATTTGCATTTACAAGCAGGAGTGTAATTTGTTTCGCTCGAGTAATTTGAATTCAGAAGCCGACTTTCTCTAGTTAGGAGACGGTCAATCCGAGACGAATTCGCAAATGTTACACATAACCGTGAAGAAAAGTTCATTCGTGAACGAACAGAAGGGCTACATTGACACGAAATGGAGCAGACCCGGAAGTCAAGAACAAAGCACAACTCTGCGCGCCTGTGTATCGTTGCGGAAACATAGGAATGTTGTTTGTTACTGCTAGATTTATTATGGGCCTAGAACCCGTTAATTGTCAAACGAGTCACTCGAAAAAAACATTATCCTTCATTGAACTTGCGAGAACGTCGAACAGCGCTCGAAGAATTTCTATACTTTGTCTCGAAGCTCGTAATTTACACTTCCACAATCACAAGACATTTGGGTGCGACTCGCAAAACACCCACGCAAAACTCACTTGACCTGAAGATCACGTGAACGAATTCGCTCGCGTTTTGCGCAATATTATACGTGCTGTAAAGTCGCCGTCAGTATACGGAAATACTTATGCGGAAACTGGTTGCCATCAAGTTCTGCTCTTCATCACGAAGCTGTTCAAAGTACAATATATTTTTTAAGAATTTAATCTCATTCCCTCCACGTTACTGAGGCTCTCATTTTGGCTTTTGCTGGTCCAAACATTTGCGTATTTTCTTTAAAACTCTCTTCATTTCCTTCATTTAATGGCACTTGATCAAAGTTTACCATTCCTTCACGTCCAGGTGTTAGCGCCCAATTTTTAAGTTTAATACCGGTTTTCGTGCTTTCTTCCGCGCCTGATTAAGCACATTGAATGGCTACCATGAGCCTGGAGCGAAAGCATGGAAATTAACCACTCGGAAGCGGCGTGTAAAGCCAAAAATTTGCATCGCGGAAAAAGAGCGAATTACTATTCACTTCAATTATGTTCGCTTAAGTTTCAATTGAAATGACCCCTCTGACGTAAGGCAAAGAGAGGTCGCCTTCTGCGTGCAAGCACACTTCCTACGGGTTTGACGTCACCGTGCATACGTGCAATATTTTCAAATATTTCCTGACTTGTTGGATAGTGACTCGTTATCTTTTGGGTTTCTTTAGCAAACGGCCACAAGACCAGTCAAAACCCTTAGCTCATGCAGCAATCCCGTGTATGCAGCGATATAAATAGACCGGTATGTATAAAAGCGTTCGATTCCTTTTAGATTTGAAATTCTGTGATTTCAGCCCAGTCTAGAACGCCTTTGAAGAAAAAAAATGGAATCGAAAGAGCAACATTTCTGTTTGACAAACATGATCTGCTATCTCAAGATCTACAAAACTTTGTAGGAATGTCAAGTTCCTCCTCGACAAAAATTTGAAAAAATAATTTTGAGCGGACTGATTGAAAGATGAAATTTCCAGTGTGGTCGAAGTAACAAAACTTATATTTCGCTTCTCACCGCGAACGGGTTTTCATCTAATCGAAATAATTTCCTTATTTAGCATTCTACAATATCGGACACAGCCACTCGGATGTCCTAATCCTTCAATATGTGTCTTATTGGTAGCGGCGCGCGTGCGAGAATGCACGCCTTCGTACTTCGTGCCTCGAGAGGGCATCACTTCACGCGTCCGATCTAAACCGAACTCGCGCCTAAAGTCCCACTGCTGCTCACGCCAGAAAAAAAAGCTTCTAAGTAAGTTTTTAAACCAAAACAAATAGGTCAGGGATTAGGCTATTCAATCATCGTCGCAAATCTGTACACTGAAATATGATTTGAAGAAGTACTACATAAAACTTTGCATGTTGTTTTGCGAATTGACACTGCAGTTGGAAGGATACGGAAGAAACCCGGCCGAAAAATGCCGAAGAATACCGAAGAAAATAACAAAGAACCAAAGAAAGGCTTTCCGTATGGCGGCTTCTTCATACAATATGCTACACAGAATCTATGCATGATACGTGTTTTAAATAATTATCTGTTTTCTGGAAAACCCTTGGCTCATGGCTTTCCAAAACTTATTATTATTATTATTATTTCAAAAATAGATATCACCAAAGAGTGAGACTTACCACTTTGTGCAAGCAATCGGTGGATTTCTAAAAATGAAAAAAAAAACAATTTAGTTAAAAAAAATCAAATCAAGAATGAGATGACATGGAGTGAAGGCGGATTTGGAAACAATAGCTGCCGCAATCGGAGAAAAAGTTATTTGGTAAGATCCATTGAGCCATTTTATAAACAAATTTTCTGTAATCAAGTGAGATAGGGTCTCACCTTCCACGGGAAGATCATCCGGAAGGGAAAAGTAAGGGGAATCTGTAAGATACATGATAATTGACAAGTTAGTATCTAACTTTCATGCAGTGGGGTGAATGAAAACTATCATTACTTCACACGTTACAGCTAGAATCTTGAAAAGCGAGGATAGCATCGGAAGTTATCCGGAAAAAAAAATCTAGATGAACGAAATACCTCAGCTGTAATCGAAAAGTTTTATTTATTATGATATTTTGCTTTTGTTGCATATAGCATTTGAAAAACACTTAACCCTTTCACATAAACTTTTCAATCCCAAGATCTGAGAGCCTAAAAGTCTTAACTAAACTTCATGGTTTCTCTGTTTGCTGGTTTTACTAGCTTAGACCATGGCTTTACACCATGACAGAAAATTCCCCTACTTAATAACGGTCTAGCTCTCACGGAGTTATTTTTCCTTTAAATTAAGAGATTTTTACCTTGCATAGCAAGAAGATTAAACATCTCATCACTTGATGGATCGTAACATCCTGTAAAAATGCAGACAAGAATAACAAAGATTAACTTTCCATTTTTCCTCTCCTGTCTAGGGTATACCAGATTATCCTTTGGTTAATTAACACCGAACAATGTATACTTCTGAGAGTGAACTTGAAGCTGGGGGACTGAGATAGGGGAGTGGTGTACCCATGTACACTATCAGTAGAAACCTTTGGCAGATAACAGGGCTTTGATTTTTTCAGTAACTCATGAAGGAAATCATTGTTTCAAGGTACTCTAATGGTTTGACCGTCATTTTGTTTCTATCAAAGGAGGAATTATTCTTTTGTTCACTTTTCTGAAACCCTTACCACATGAAGCTAGAAGAGCTTGAATGAACAAACAGAGGCCGAGACCCTTCATATTCAACCCCAACCAGGCACATCCCGCAAAAGTTTATATTGAACCCTCCCTGGGGAAATCTTCAAGACTTAAACTAAATATGTTACTTACCTCCACAGGAGGTACTGGAACCTGCAAAGGGACAAAAAAGTTTTAACCTTATTTTATAGGAAAAGCAATCTACCCTAGACATCATACACAGCTAGCCTGTAATGATTCTTGTACTATCTTGTAAGGTCCTCAATGGCCTGCTCAACTGACAGCTTCTTTTCTTTAACCCTTTAATTCCCACGAGTGACCAAGACAGAATTTCTCCTTACAATATCAACACAGTATCAACCAGATAAGTGATGAGAATAAAGAAAAATATCAATTTGGGGATAATAAGTTGATTCAATACTGAATTCTCTGAACTAACATCATGAGAATTGTATGGTTGATGGTAAGGAGAAGTACAAATTTGATCTGGGAGTTAAAGAGTTAATTTTTTTTTCGTTGTTTTTTTCTTCTTCCTATATCTTCTTTGATTATTTCCTTCTGAATGCTTTTCTCTAATTCCTCTTCCTTTCATAAATCCATTCATTTATTTATTTCTTTTCCTTCCTTCTTGTTACTCTCTCCTTCAAACTTTCTTTTCTATTTCTTAATTCACTTTTTAAACTGTTTATTTACTCTCTTTCTTCTTGTTCTCTTATTCCTGTTTGCATCTTTTCTTTCAGCAACGTTTGCTTGCTCCACTGATGGTTCACGAACTCGCAGTTGAAAACAAGTTATTTTCAAATGTTTTGATAATGTTAAATTTGTTGTTTATATTGATACAAATATAGCACTTACTTTCCCATTGGGAACTACTCGCAATCTGCGTGAGGGCTTCGTACAGGAGTCCTCCATATTCTGAACGTTTTTTCAAATCATCTGCTGTTGAACACCACAGCTCTGGCCCAGTCAGGTCCAACTTATCCAGGTCATACTCCCCAGTGATATTATTAGACGTCCAGACCGACTTCAGAAAACTTTCTAACTGAGCCGCTGTCCATGTGTATGGTGGGTAGTTGGACCAATCTTCTGAGAAAGAAAAATACATATCAGTACCGAGGGCACCAGGTTGCGAGTTGAACGCTTGGGCTACATCTTGACTGAGAAGAAAAAAGCATTCCAACAGATAATTAAGTTAAATGTGGGGTTAGAAGAAAATAGAAACAGCAGCAAATTCAGGGTCCTGGGAGAGGGTGAGGGGGGGAGAAGGGTTCCGAAACTCCTTCTCCCCCCCCCCCCCCCCCCCCCAGCAGAACTTTGGGGGTTTGCTTAGGGTTAATATACAGGATCGCATGTTATAACAAAATGTGGCATATTTAAAATGAACTTGTCTCGAAATATTTCTTAGCTTCTAATTCACATGAGACTAAGTGCAAAATACTCTTTCTGTGTTTTCTAAATCTGCCCACCCGCCTCCCCCCACCCACCTAATCACAAATTCCTGGATCCACCCCTGATGAGCAGTTTACTACAATCTTTTAGTAATTAGGTATACCTTTCTGACTGGGTGTCTTGTTATGAGAAAGTGGCTGAACAGTAAAAAAAATGGTATAGTAGGATGTATATAGAAGAGATGGATGGATGGATTGGTAAATGATCACGCTGGAAAGGAAAGGGAAAGGTGAAAGGGGGTGAAATGAAAGTAACACTGAAGAAAAGGAAGAAAAAGGGAAGACAGGAAAAAGAAGGAAAGAATCCAAAAGGTGGTTAATGTTCTGAGAAGTAATGAGCGCAGGTCACAAAGCACATTCAAAAGCGTTTTCTGGATGTCAATGAAGTTCCAACAAAGATCACAACAGGCTTAGAAAAACTGAACAAGCACTAAAAATGAAAAGTTCTAGAAATCAAGGTTGATATTTCAGCAAAGGAGCCCAAAGAAGAAATCGTTTAGGATTCCAAGCCTAATTTAAGTTGTTCAGCGAATGAATGCAGTTTAACAGGAAATTATTTCGGAGGAGCTTCGGCAATCCAAGAAGACACAATATATTTATCCTCATATACCTCATATGGCAAATTATTACGAAAGAAAGCATGGAACCAGTTTCAAATCAAAAGCTATGCTGAGCATGATAATATCCAGAAGGATAATGTGGGAAGTACAGAAATCAAAGAGAAAGAGGCATTTTTGACCGAGGACTTCTCTTCCAAAGGCAAGCCTTATAACCCCGACGGAGAAGTAACAAAGCGTGAGTGAGCAAATTACTACTGGAGTTTTGGTATCAACTGGAACATAGCTAAAGAATATCCGCCTCCAGCAACTTCAAGCGATTGACCACATCGATGAGCGAACAGGTAACGTGAAAAAAACTATCGGAGTTTGACATTACACCGAAGTTAGATGTGGATTGATAAAGGGCCGCCCTAAGCGTTCAAGTTATTTTTGCCGCCTAAGTTTGTCATTAGAATTCGAAAAAATTAAAAACTGTGACTCAAGTATGCAGTTTAAAGAGAAAACTTGAGAGAAATGACCCATCTCAAGGCAATTGTAAAGCCAATAAATCACAGATTTAAACGAAAAAAAAAGGCCCTTGGCCGAAGACATATGAAGCAAAGAGCAACTTGAACGATTGTCCGGAAAGGGCCAATTTGAACAGAACTGAGCTGTGGCCAATTTATTTCCCCTGAAAAAAGAACAAGTTAAACACGCCTATCGAGACATTTTTGTTTACTTGCCGAAGGCAAAAATCGACTCATGAAATCTTCGCGGGAAGATCTTGAGCCTTTTTTCCGAATTTCGAAATGCTTAATCTTAACATATTAAAGGCTCCAAGAGCATTTCTTTTTTTAAACTAAGGACGCGATTATGTGCCCAATTTTCGAAGATTAAGGTGGTTTCCCAGCTAAATTCAACAAATATTAAAATTTCAGCCTTGCATGATGAAATCTTGTGCACTTATCTGTCCTTGAAATCTTTCGCTAGGCCGCATTTGGTAAATTTCATTTCGCTAAACCAGCCTTATAACAATAGCTTCTGAGACAATGATCATAAAACTCTTTGCTATCGTCTCAACACGATCTACCCTAAATGATTTAGAGTTCCCATCATGTTTCTGTCTTGGAAACGTTGCTATCTTGAATCAACATCACTTGTCATAAAAACGGTTTTGTTCTCGAAAAAAGAACTGAAAGGTATATTTCGTTCCAGTAGAATGACCCGTGACCCATACGGCTGCATATAGAACGCCTTAACGGAGAGATCATGTGAAACCAAACAAACCCCGAAAGTGTAATTTTCCGTGTTTGTAGGGAAGCTGCTGTAATCGGCCTTCCTTGAATTTTCTAAAGTAATTTTTTAACAATGTCTTTATTGATGCTAAAATTATGTTGAAAGCATCAAGTCGCGTCACAGTGGATGTCGCGTGATTCCGTTCGTAAAGCCTCGTTACTTCATAATCTTAGACACTACTTTCTTAAAAAAGCATTTAAAAGGCACGCAAAGAGCTTACCTGTAAAATAAAATAGCCTTTAAAGTAGGATCGACATGTATCAGATCGCAAAATAGAGCTATCTGTGTTCCCGGTTTAAACCTTAGAAACGAAACGAAGACGGAGCTGTTAAACCCGACTTCGACAGAGTCGAGAGGTGATTGATGAATTTAGACTTTCTCAAAATGGGAATCTTAAGCGGAATTTCAAAACACGAAGGTATCAAGCAGCAAAGGAAACTTGCTTACCTTAAAATTATTTCCGATTACCCAAACTATCTTTCAAATACACAAGACCAAACAACTTGCGTAGCTTCAGTTTCTGGTGACAAGACAACTTCGACCGGAAGTTTTAGACCGTTGGAGCGTAAGACAGGGACTAAATGCAAAGAATCGACGAAAATACACATCTCCGTCAAGCGAAAAAACATCTCGTTATTCAGTGATGGGAAGGAACGAATTCAGGGCATCAGAATGAAGCTGTATTTACTGGATACTTTACGCTTGTCTTGAAAGCCTGCAGATTTCGAGTTCGCCGTTGTAAACAGGAAGAACATTCCACAAACGCTTTTGCGACAAACAATAGGCTTGAATTATGGGTACAATCTGGTCGGCCAATCAAATTGCTTCAGACGTGAGCCGACAGAAGGGTGTTTTCGTCCATAGTGTCAATGACGTGTTAACTTTGTAAGTATTTTTAACGTAGCTGGTTAAATTACTCCAAAAATATTGGGCACTACACTGCTTAGTTTGAACGCAAACATGAAAACAAATGAATTCAATTCCAGAAAGAAACAAAGATGTGTAATTGCGTTGATCGGGACACCTGCAATCGATGCAAATTTCATAACAACACAGTAGAAAAAAAAATGTAACAAACGTTATCCATCTTATCCGATTCAGACAGTCCCTCTTGTATATTAAAAAATGAAGCGGAGTACTCAAGGAAACTTTTGGAGAACCAATTTCAAATATATTTAAGAGAACTTTGAAATGGGAAGGGGTTATGAAACTGAAAGGACATTGCTCCAACAATGCTTAAACAGGTGCATGATAAGCAGTAGCACCGATGTCAAAGTCTTCAATCTACTGTAGCCGTGGTCTGAGTCCATCTCTGGATTGGAAATACAGGCAACATGTCCAAAATTGACCGATATTTCCTCAGTCTATCTTTTGCCCACATTGTGTTGCAAGAGGAAAATCAATTTTCGGACGCTTGGAATTGTTTAACCACAGTAAGAATTACAGCCTGGAATTAGGTTGCACCGCAGATTTGGAAATGCATCATGAGATGATGATGAATGAACTTGGGTGAAGAACAACGGATGAGACTGATAACTGGACATGCATCGAGCTAATTTGCTGTTAGAGATCGTAAATGAACGTCAAATTTCTCATAAAAAAGATCAACATACCGATTCCGACTCGACCAGGAAACAGCGCACAAAGGGATACCTCATGGTTGCAACACAATTATAAAAGAGCAGCCAACCCTTAAATGCACTATTGCTGCCATTCAATGTATTAATTATATGAAATTACGTACCTGTAGGTCCCAAACACTCCATTAAACCGGGAGTTGTATGCTGGTCTAAGTCCAGGCAGTTGTTTCCTGGAGAAGGAAGAGCCTCGTCCATCCTTGGGGACGCACTCTCATCTGACGAGTAACCAGACTCATTCAGGCTGGAGCAGCTCTTCCACGAAGTTAAACTGTCACTTCTGCTTTTGCTCTCTTCCCCATCTAACTGCATGGGTTGACAGCCATTCAGGCTAAGGGCATTAATGTCTGGGACAACCTGGGTACCATCCAGATTTATGTAGTCCTCAAAGTTGAACGGAAATCCACATCCAGGAACTTCATCACCACAAGTCATCATTTTGGATGCTTCAAATAGTTCACGGTCTGAAAATGTCTAGAAGAAGAAACAAGTCGAAACTTGTAACAAATGGGCAGCCCTGGATCAACTGAGTACTTTTAGTGCAAACTACCAATGCTTTTTACAAACTTCTATTTTTTTTTTTGGTTTAAAACTTGGCCAGTCATTCTCAGATTGGGTTAACATCCAAATGTTCCCTTTGCGACAATGATTTTTGGAAGGTCTTTTCAAACCATATTAGCAGTGCTGATATTATTATCATTATCATTACTACGACCATAAATACCATTAATAACATGATCATGTTTTATTGTCAAGAATTCGTAAATAACAGATAATTTGCCCAATCGCCTATGAAAAAATCATACGGCTCACCTATGGCTTAAAGTTTGAAACTGGCACATTACGATTTTTAAGCATTTTTCACAAGATATCCTACATATCAAAAACATGCAGATCTAGCGAATCAAAAACAAAATTATATAGTTACAAAGAAGTCATGCCAACGATGAATTTAGGTGTAATTGATCAAAACACCTGTAGAAGCCATGAGTGCAGAATACTCTCTAACATGTTACAGCATAATAACGTGTGTAGATTTTTGTTGCAAGCTTCTATCTAATGATCAATGAGAAAACTCAGAAAAAGTTTTAGGCAAGGCCAGAAAAGATCGATACTGTATTTCTTTCAAATGCTGCCTAATTTTTATGGATTATATGTACTGAAGTTAAAGTTTTTGTTTGATGAGTGCGTATTTTGGGCACAATTTGGCCCCACAATCATTGATACGTTTATTTTGCAAATATACTCCCCTTTTATGTCCCCTTTTATCTCTAGAAGCTCTGGAAAATTTAACTCGAGGATGTTTCTTAGTAATATTTGTGTTTGAAAATGAAATAAACGAAATCATCAAAATATCCAAGACGCTGAAACATTTTCATGATAAAACAAACTGATATAAGCTATGCAATCATTTACAAGAAGGCCACTTTTCAGACCATCTATACTTTTTGTCCTTTAACTATTTCTATTTATACAGTCTATCACAGACCCACAAAGTATGTCATTATTAGGCACTTAACAAAAAATATTAGTCCCACGACTTTCAAGCCAATATTATTTAACGAATCAGGTCCCCAATGTTTACTATTGTTTGGGATACCCAAAGATAGATCAAAGTTCCCGCAAAATAGTTTTCCTTAAAATTTACCTCACCTCTTTAACTAGTTTCCGTTAGGTTTTGTATCAGAAAGACTGCGATCACGAGATCTGGGTGAAGAAATCGAGCTCCTAAGGTGTGTTTAGAAACGCTTACAGATTTGATCACTGAATAAAAACACTGTGTCAGAGAAAATTGAGTGGAGTCACGCACAACTTAATGTTTTGACAGAAATGCATCATGTAATATACAGGCAGCGATCGATCTTTTCACCACCGACATGGGCAATACTTTTACTGTTTAGACTTTAAGAAAATCAGAACCATTGGAAACACAACTGAAAAATATTGTTGGTTAGTACTATAAAACTTTAGTAACCGGAGCGCCACGGAGAGAGCGGAGTTCTAGTTTACTTATAGGATTTGGCACTTTTACGACACAATACCCATTACATATCCGCAAGCTAGATAAAGTATTTCCATCGGTAAGAAAGAGTGTTTAGATTTTGCAAATTTCTTCTGAGATTTTATGCTCAAATATTTTCAAGGGTTCATCTGGTATCTATGACTATGTTCAAGATTTTAAGAAACGTTAAACACTGTTGAAGCACAATTTGGATACAGATTTTTGTCAAACCCAATCAAGAGAGCGAGACATACCTTCAAAGAAAAAAAGGTTTGTCGAGCAACTCATCATGGAAACAGTTTCTCAATTAGCTAAACACAGTGTACTGTTTCGCCTCGAGGTTGCAAGTACTCGTGTACATTCATCTACACGCTGAAACTGACACCATCGTTGAAACACGCACACTACGGTTAAATTTTACCGCGAATATTTTTGCGATAAAAATTGCAGGTAGCATGCCTACAAGCTGTACCTACTCGATTCATAGAGTAAAGAATGATATTTCACCCACCTCCATCTAGCCTTTGGCAAACAAATTGTGCCACAAAACGTCGGTGTCTGAAAACTATAAACAACCTCCTTAATACAACGCCGATCGAAAAATTAAAAGATGGCGCTTGCATCTGTTGCAGAGGTCTAGCTGTATCGATTTTCCAACGTGGACTGACAAAAATGGTTGACTCCTCTCCTCGTTTGGAAATACTCTTTCACAAGTTTTACAAAGTAGTCAAATGTTTATGACGTTGCCCGCTGATTTCACAAGACGAAATGTCTGAGGACAATCGTAGAATTAAAACAGCTGAAACATCTGATCTCAAATCTACCAAACAAACTTGCTAACGTTGTAATTTTTTCATCGTGTTCACCTTAAGAGTTGTTAAGATTCGTGGCGTTGAGGACTGTACAGGCAATTAGCGAGGAGCAGACGGTATATTAAAATATGTTACCTAGACTATGGATAAAAACAAATGTCTTTGTGCATTTTATTAAAAATTCAACCCCTCTCCTTGCTTTTGTTATGGTGTCTGAATGAGAACAATACGAAATGTCACGCGATGGACGTAAGTTACATTTTTTTATGTTTGACATAGGTTTAAATGTCATTTCAGATATTTCTAGATCCTTTATTTACAGTTTATTACAAAGCAAAGGACTTAGTGTAGAGCAAAGGAAAATGAGGAGATTCATGTTAAATTCAGATGATACAGAAAAGTTAAAAAGTCTATAAATAGATCACCGAGTCAATATACTTATTATGCGTGACGTAATTGAGAATTTCAATGAATTCAAATCTATTCGATTAGATATCAACAAAAACAGAAAGCTTTTTATCACCTTAAGAGTGTGTCAGGGATCTATCGGCAAAAATGTGACTTTGTATAATAGATAATTTTTTCATTTCAATCAGTTTTACACGAAGTTAGCACAACTTTATTCGATACTGCAGTCATGCTGAAAATATTTCGCTTTCCAGTCTTATGCAGACCGGTTTAAAGCTGTATTTGAAGGATTCCACAGCAATGTTTGTATCGAAAATTCTAAGGAAGGATATGTGTTCTAACTAAAAGCATAATTTAATTTCTACAAAATTATCACAATTTTCAAAACTTACGTCCGGACTAGAAGAAAACATGACTTCTGAATGCACGTTTTTGAATTTTCTCACACCTGAAAACATAGTGATTACATTGTGTTACGGGATGTCGCGAATAATCAACATGATGTTTGTGATGATCGTGAGCACTTTGTGTAGGCGATATCCATTCTTAGTTCTTCACTCTTTTATGAACTGGCATGATATCCCGACTAAGCGCGCGTCAAAACAAACTGACATCACTTTAAGAACATTAAATATACTTCATTAGGTACACGAACGTCGACTCAAACCGCATCTGGTTTAAAACTGTGAACCTGTCTGTAAGAAACTGAAGTGTTACCTTTATGAGAATGTGCAAAGTATTGCTGCTCCTTAGGGTTTGACAGAGTTGAAGGTGTATCGTTCAATTCTCTTCGGCCAAGGTTTTGTGCCTGTGCAAGTTTTTGATCTTAAACTGATCTTATTTACTCTCGCTGGTTCGTTTTAGCTCGTTTAATACGTGATCATAAAAGGGTTTTCCCATACGGCTCTCCTATTGGTCGATGAGCAGCGCGTATGAGTAATTACAAATTTGATTGGCTCCCCTATGAGCATCCGGAATAGTTTGGCGGGCGGTACTCGACGATTTGATTGACTGCAACATCCGGTTTATTCAATGTGAGTGCTTGTTTTTACTGTCTAGTAATCGGTTTTGACCCATTCACCCCGTGTAAGCAGCACCGGTAGTTTATTTATATCAACTTTATTTTTTGTGACTCCAAGTATTTCTTTCAGGCATTCAGCAAACTGCATGTAAAATAGCTGCGGGATAATCCTCATATTACTATGATTCCAAGAAAATGTGTTTGCATTTCATCATAAATCGACTGAAAACTATCAGACGTGACACTACTACATTAGACAAGTTATTTATTTCACCGTGGGTTAATTATATATTCTGCTTTCGCATATTTTTGTCTACCGCCGAGTGCGCTCTGTATCCAGAAATAAACAAGATTACAAATCATTAAACCATGCATAAGTTCTTTGAGTAACATTCAGTCACGTAATCCCTACTGGTTGCTACGGTTTCACATCAACATTTGAGTCGAAATAACAAAACTGGAATTTCGCTCCGCATCATATTTTTCGCCAAAGCAGCATGATATATTCTGTTTGCAATTGTTCTTTGGAAAAATATCAGCTTTCTCATTTACAGATGAAAGCGCCGCTATTTTTTATTCGTATTTTTTTCTAGAGATAATATTGCTCGTGAGACATGAACCACATTTAGCACGTAAATGACGCACCTGCCAAACGAGCCGCGAATCACACAAAGCATAAATTCGTGATGTCTGCGGCCTACGAGGTGAGGCACATAGCAGGAAAAAACTGAATTGTCGCTTAGTTTCCGTACGTGACCAGTGGTATAGATTATTTTAGTCACAGTCGGGTATGCCGACAGGAAGCGTGAAATATCACGTAAAATAATAAAAAAATAAAACTTGTTTCACAGTGAAAGAGAATCACTAATAAAAATTTGACAAAAATATTTCGATGTCCCCAAAAAAATTAAACAGGCCAATTAATTGAGAATGATAAAATTGAATTTTTCAGCAACGTGGAAGGCAATTTTTTTTCAATTTTTAGAGGAATTTTTAATCTTCCATAAAATTTAGCTTAAATGTTTTCTTGGCTCGAAAGTGATGTAAACCAAAATAGCTTTTTCCAAACAAGTGAAACTTTGTTTATTTCCAAGTTTCGAAACTGGTTTCAGAAGTCGAGATATTTACATAGCTTGCAAAGGTTTTGCAGTGTTCTGCAAAATTAAAACAGAAATAGTTTTCCGGAATCAAAATAGATGTTAAATTTATTTGGAATTTAAGTTTTATAGGAAATTCATTACGGTATCCATTTCGAAAGATGCGAGTGGAAATTCTGCGGTTGTTAAAGAATAAATGAGTCAGTTTCAATTTCGTCTTTTTTTGCTGTTCTCTTTAAAAGTCAAATAAATGCATATGAGAAGTTGGCAGAACAGATTCTAATAGATAGAGTTTGAAGTTAAATGGGGTAAATTAAATCTAATGAAATAAGAGGTAGGTTGTAGTTCGCTCCCATAATAAAACTCATAACTTTGTGAGTAAATTACGAAGTTTAAAGGCCAAATTAATTCGCCAAAAGACGCGAAGTGGAATTCACTCTAAGCTAACTAACGATTAAAGATGCTGCCCTGTTTTTGATGACGAATGGAAAGATTGCACGCGAATAAAAAAAATTTAACGACGTTTGGCGAGAAATCCATAAATTCGAATTTTTTGTGCATACAGACTGTGAAGGTGGGAACAGGCACATACCTGGAGCTTAATTGACATGGGAAACTAACAACTGAGCTCATAACCTTTAAAATGTATGGATGAACCAACTCTGGTCTGAGGAATTGTTGAGCTAAGATTTCCAAAATATTTTGATACATAAGGAAAGAAACAGCATCACAGGTAAAAGTAAAATTGATTGAAAATCATTTATGAAAAATAACTGAAGTTTTCTTGCGAAAGGAAAATACATTTAGACAGGCATGTCATTTCCTATGTTACTGAATATTACTTAAACTTGCTTGTCACATTCAATTAGTAACCTCCAAGTACTGTTCAGCCTTTTACAGCCGGGAAGTGGGCAAAACGTTTTAGACCACAAGATAATGTGCAGAATCATTTCTTCCTTAAAAATCACTGTTGGATTCTATGATCTACACTCTTTCGCAACTTGTTCTTACTTGCCTGAGATGAAATTGTTATTTCAGAAAAACCAACAAGTAGCCTCTTTCATAGCCGGGAATATGCTGAAATGAAACGTTTTAGTCCAGAGGGAAATGCAAGCCTTCAAAATCATTGCATGGTCTTGCTCCACATTTCATTCCAAACTGTTTTAAATCAATGGCTCTTTTAAAGTGTTCAGCATTTTCGTAGCCATGTTCTAGCTGGGGTAAGGTGAAATTAAAATTTCGGAAAAACCAACGAGTAGCCTTTTCACAGCCGGGAAGAAAATAAAAAGTCTAAAACGTTTTGGACTTCAAGCGACAGTGTAGAATCATTTCATTTCTTTGTCTCACTTCTCATTTGATACTACTCTGATTTAGAGTGCTCGCCAACTTTTATTAACAATTACTTAGCTATTTCGCAGCCGTATGATGAAGTGAACATCGCAAAGAGGACGATAATAACAACGTGTGCTGATGCTGAGATGGGTGTTGGTTTCAGATACTAAGTTATCATTAATTAAGAATATTTCAAGCTCTTTCGCACAAAATTTGTAGCAGTTGAAAAGCACATATAAATGCCAGGATATTGTATATTTTATTTTCTCTTTTAAACAATTAAATCAATTTTGATGTGGTGAAGTTCTTTGAGGATCGCTTATCTCCTACTCCACTGCAGATATGGATCGATGAAACGTTTACCGTACGTGACATTAAAAAGGAAGTCACTGTTACATGTTGAGATCCTAATTTTTGTCCTAACCCGGATACGTGTTAGCTTTAAATTCTTGGCAGTTTTCAACCCTTGGCATGGGTAACATGCCAGACCAAACTACACACTTACAGAGTTGCATCACGTATAGTGAGATTTGAAAATTTATCTCCAAATTTGAAAAGTTTTTCGTGTTTGCAATTCATGTGTATTTTAGATTCTGTGGGCAACCCTACCGTAAGTTCCCTCTTAGCTAACTTTTTGAGATTTCACTACCCACGCAAAAGTATTAAAAATATCCACAAAAAATGTTTTGAAGCTACCAGGCTAACGTTCTCTCTGTTGTCGGTTAAGGAAAGTTTAACCTGCCTGAAGAAAAATTTAGCTATGCGAAATTTCTGTAAATGTAAAAGTTTTGCATCAATTCTGCAACAATCTTGGTTATGCCTTAAAACGCAGTGATTGCATGCTACATTGATTTTGAAAACGCTTGCGGGCAAATTTTGGAAGGACAAACAACATTCAATGTCTCTCCGACATCACGTACCCGTGAGACTTGTACATGTCGTAGCTCTTCCGCTGTTACTTTTTCGAATTTCTCGGAACTACAAGATTCGGAATTATGGGAAAAGGCCAATGACTGATTCGCATTTCTCGGAAAGACAGGATCCAGGAAACGATAGAGATATCGGAGAAGACGTGATATGTAATTTAATTCATGTCTAGCTGGTCTCGACATGATTGACATGATGTCAGAGGTCGAATGACAGTCATTCCGTATAAAATAAAAATATTTTACCAGCCGTGAAGCCGGTAGTTCAAGTCAACCTTGTCTCGAGTCAACTGTGAGTCGAATTGTTATTTATAAGTTATGAAGCAAAATATGATAAAAAAAAAAACGCCTCAGTTCTCATCGAGGGACGTATGGAGTTAACTTCTTTGAATTGGAAAATTTGTAATTCTGAACACGTCAGATACACAGGTATGTAGTTTTATTTGTCTCGTCTAAAATTAAATCGCTTCACTGTCAACTTTCGTTCCATCTGCCTCTCAGTAGTAGTAAGCTGTAACTCAGAAACTGTCTCGAAAGTTGCTCGGAAAAGTGCAATACGAAGCAATCTGCATTAATTTCTAAAGGTGTCAATAATAATCTACCCCCAGGCTCTTCACACAACGTCTCATCTTGACCTCACGCTGCTTAAATAATGTTTTCACAAACACATTCCTCAACATATGACAAATGTGAATAACAAGAATGTTTAAATCACGGTATCTGATTTTTATAGGGAATAGGATTACTCGTTATACATAGAATTAATATCTGCATCGCTATCTGCAAAATTCAAAATATTCTGTTAAAACAACCACGGACTATTTTTCCTTGCTAAGTTTCTACCTTTGGACCTACTTTAGTTATAAAATTCGGATTTACTCTTGCCTCTTCTGCAGTTTTCTATCTGATCGAAAAAATATTTTGGAGTCTCCTTCAGATCGAAAGAAGTCTTGAAAAGCGCACAAATCTCTCAAAACGTTACATGTCAAACACTGAGACATAAACTCGAATTTCTATTGAAAAAGTACGGAATGCATAGATATAATAAGTTCACCTTTCGAGCCACGGTATCATGGTTATAACAGCAACAACCCAGCAATCTGTTATGATAACAATAACTATATCATGATAATAACAACAGTAATCATGAAAACATATAAAAACTGTGACCCGGTGGCTCATCTATTGAAATATCAAGTATATTTCCTTAGCAATTTCAAATGAGAGTTTGGTTTATTATTTCCCGTGTAAGTCGTATGGGTGACACTGAGTCTCAACCTCAATTTGTTTCAGGTAGAATCCCCTTCGAAAGTTAACGTCATAATGTGGTAAATACACTTTTTTATTTAAAACAAATAAAAGTTTGTGGTGAATTTTGTAGACATTTTCTATATTCCTGTCTAGATCTTTTGAAGAGGAGTGAAATATAGTTATTTATTGATATCATAGCCTAATAAATGAGTATTTTTTTTAAGGGTTTTTTCCGGTCTTATTTTTTGGGTAACTTTTTCAGATTTCTTCTGCTATAACCTTGCACATACTTATCTTTCACAGAAAGATTTCTACATGAAGAGAATGAATCGATCTACACATTAACACAATAAAACAGAAAGTTTTCCTCAGACTTCTGATTATCTCACGGCCCAGTGTTTTTCTGTAATTCGGAGTCTAATAATAGTCACCGGCGTCAGGCAATTTCCGATGGAACTATTTACAGTGGAAAGGTCATTACGCAAATGAGATCAGCGAGGTGGCAATTTAATAAAAAGATAGCAGGAGTAATTCTCCGAGATTATTCCTGATGCTGCACAAAAGAAAGACTGACCTAGCAAAGACTGAATTTGACTGGCTCAATTAGAATGCTCATGTTCGAAGATATTCCGTTCTTTTGGGTGCCTTGAGGTTGAGTTGCACCCTAAAGGAGTAATTGCAGATTCTCAAAATTGTTGAAAGCCGAAGAGCGTATAGAGGTTATTTCGAAAAAAGAAGCGAGATTACCGGGAGCCAAGCTTAGTCTTCATGGTTTTCAGCGACAATTCCGGCAGTGTAAACCATAAAAAATTAACTAAATATTTTGAAGAATTTCATACATGAACACACTAATCGTCGACTAAGTTTCCATTTCATTCTCGTTGAGAGCAAAAGTAAAAATTTCCTTTGATTGAACGCAATTTTCCCTTGAGGATAAAAGCAAAGTCACTTCGAGTTGAGAACACATTTCGAGGGTTTTAGTGGTTTATTAATTGATAGAGAACACTAGACCATTTCACATGTTATAAAGATTGTCTGAAGTTGAGAATAACAGACTCCGCATAGTCAGTAGGTAATTTGATGACAGACTAGTTAGGTATTCCTGCAGATTCTATGTGCCACTCACGAACATGTGGGCATCATGCGTATTTAGTGGCGAAATATTCGAAAGGGAACGAAGAGACATTTCGCAAACTGGATCCAATCAACTAAATAAATCATTCAGGTCCCAACACTCGAGGAATTTAGTTAGCCAGTACATGGAGTGTTAATCAAAACTTTATTTACCAAACAGAGCTACGTCAGAAGTTAACGAAAATTGTTTTTGAAATTTTAGAAAAATCTTGACCTTCCACTCCAGTCATCTCAAGGATACCTCGCCAGATATTTAGGACTTTTTCCACTCGTTGGATAGAATTTAGTAACGAAATTATCAGGCCAGTGTATTGCAAGTAATTGTGCAAACAATTTTGCTTCCCGTGGTTGAATTTTTCGTTGAGATATTTGTTCTGCATGCTTGGGCGAAAGACGAAAGAATTAGCGAAAGCCTGTCTTCATCTGAGAATTGAAAATGTTCCCATTCAAATTAAGCCAATTCGGTAATTGTCTTTCTACACATGAGTAAAATTTGTTGAAAAATAACGAGATTTTGGAAAACGTTTGGCAGCTATGGTTCCTTGATTCCAAGTTGTTTGGTGAACAAATGCATTCACTTTAAGAGTAATAAAAATTAGAATTTCTTCGACACAAATCTTTATCGGAATTAGCGAGGAGATTTCTGAAAACATACTTCCTTTTTTTAAACCAGTGTCATTGTTTATTTGAAATGATCGCCAAGTGCTGACGTTCAGTAGGGTTGTACATTCAATTCCAAAAGGACTCAACATGACCATTCTTGCACAGCAAGCATTAAGTTTTATCACACGCCACAAAACACTGCTTGATTTTATCATCATTTGAGAATGAAGGGTTGATTCGTTCAGATCCTGCAGTTTCCATTTGGCAGAGATAGAGGAGCACTTGTTAAATCTATCACATTTCTACCTGAACTTAAGGATAATTAGAAACCTGTGACAAGGTTCAAGGTATTGTTTAATGCATTTCGTGTGCAAAGAAGACAAGAAACTCTTTCTCATTCTTTGAAGCAACGTATTGTGATGAAAAGAGGTCCAACTAATAAACCAATTGCTAGTCAGCGTCTCCGATGTTAAAATTCTTCAATAAACTATCCTTTCCTTTCATGTCCCTGTGATTCCAATATCTCCATTTCCTTATGACGTTTAGTATATTGTAGGTTTATGGCAGAACAGCAAAGTTCCCTCGAGTCTAATTTGATTTGTATTGGTTTGACAGCGAAAAGGGAGACTGCTTGACATATCACTAAAGTAAAAAGTCCGCGGCGATAAATTTTTCAATTACAGGTGAAGTATTTCTATCCGATTTGAATTTTACAATCTTAAAGCTGTAGAGTCAAGTGATTTCCGCCCTTCTTAAGACAGGAATAGGCAAGACATAGCTCCCCGTGGAAAAAGGAAGAAAATTCTTTGATGATAAGCGACACAATCCGAGACATAGACGGCAATGTTTGGGATAGCTCTGTTAATCCACCGATCTGTAAGGAATGTGCACGAAATGGTTTTTCGAAGGCTTTGGGAAGGGTATAGTGAACAAAGGGAAGTTTGTTCTTTTACTTTTCAGGGTAAACGTCTTTCTTGTCCATCTTTTTGATCGCATATTCACAGTTCTAATTGGCAAATTCGAAGATTCAGAGAGTAATGTGTCTTGTGAGTTGTAAGCCTTGATTTAGGATGAATACTGAGAGACTAATAATCTTCAAATCCTTTGTTGAAAGCGTGGAGATGTATAGTACACCAGTAGAACAACTCGGAACAAACTCGATTCATCTGGAAAGGTCAATCCAGGCCGGAACTTTGTTATTCAAAATTGACCAAATATTTTGGAAGAAATGGTTGTTACCTCTCCTTAAATTTGGGTAAAGTTCTCGGATTGAACTTAAAGATACTTATGCAGTTGTTATTATTATTATTATTCTTATTATTAATATTCACCTGAAAAAAGTACATTATTCATCTGGAAATGTTTTGGCAAAGAAAGGAAAGTTGCTGTTTAGATTGATCTGAGCAAAATATTTTCTGAGATTATTTTATTTTCCGAGAAGACATGGACAGTTTCAGTTAAAAAAAATTTAACGATCCAACTATCATCAAATATTTCCTCAAGCTGTACCAAGCCCCGTGTTATGATTTATCCACAGGCAAACAAAATTTTAAATTTTCGATTAACAACTGTGACAAGAATTAGTCATACAGGAGGAAGTTATTCTTTGTTTGGTCATTTATGAGTTCGAAATGGCGTGTTTTTAAACACAGCATTCGCCTGTCCTATTTCAGTATATAAGAGAAGAACTCTTCTGTTTGATCATCGCCTGAAAAGTTATAATTACATATTAGATTCTCCTTCGCTCTTCATGAGGCCCTTATGAGCGTGTAAATAAGCGAATGCCTTGCAGTGATTGCGGATGTATCTCTGTAAAAATAGGTTCCCCTTGAGCAATATTTCTGAATGTTTAGGAACTAACTCCTTTGAAAAAAACACCTTGTGTTTTTCCTTTTTTAACAACCAAAAGTTAAACCGAATTTAGTAAACTAAAGAGTTACGAGTGACTCCATACCACCACAAGTGACTCCATGCCATGAAGTAATGAAAATATGGGAACTTCCTTTCACTTTATAAAATCAAAACTTGCCTTTTGTCTGTTTTATTTTTATATTAATTCTTACTGTTTAAAGCCAATCCTGATAGGAGTTATCGAAATGGGCTAATTGATATGGCAGAACATATATAACAGCTAAGAGTTGGATTTTGAGTTCCCTAAGCAGTCACAATAATAATGCAAAGAATGGTCTTGCAAGAACTCACTCAAGAGGTGTTTAGCCTTGTTATCTCAACGATGAAAGCAATAATCACTATAGAATCTTTATACCTAGCTGAAGGTTCTGACTATTGATTGCAAAACACGTAAATTTCTACTTGCAAATCTGCAAAAATATTATAATGAGTCACTGTTGATGCTCATGGTGGGTCTTTTAATGCACATAGACTCAGTAATAACTGGTGAAAACGCATTTAAGTTTACCATAAACATAAAATTTCACAATCTTATTGTGTTAATTCTTCAAAGTGAGACACATTAAATGCCATTTACTTTCTACCCAAGAGATGTGTGCTAATCTCCAAACGGATGTACCAAGTGGCGAAGTGAATGGCAAAGTGCTTTCTCTAATGGAGAGAAAGATGGCTCCAACGAAATCATATATCTATGGACTCTATGATAAATTATCGTTTTCTGAATGCCTGAAAATGAACATTTCGATAATTTGAGCCAAACGAAGGAAAAAGAAGAGATTTCAGTATCCATTCTTAGAAAATAGTGTAAAAGCTGCGTTGCTGAAGTTGCTTAGTGCATCCAGTTTCCGCTATATTTACTTATAACAATGACAAAATCTCCCGTTGATTCTTAAAATATCACTGGAGAATGAATAAACCTGCCGTTGCCTTTACAACGGAGGAGAATAGTGGTAATAAAGCTGCAAGATTTGTTGTACACTCTGCAAGACCAACTTTACTTTGACCAGTATTTTAGCTCGAAGGAAATAGCTCTGTTGTTCCTTTAAGATGACACATTTTTTCAGATTTCCTCGTTCTTTAAACAAATGTTCAAGATCAGTTGAGGCACAAATGTTCATACTGTTTTCATTTAAGACGTTAGTGCTAATTCAATTGACAACACTTCTCCAACAATAGGATGAACCTTGCACGAAAGCAGAAACTTTGCATGATCACCGCAATTACACCCGCAAATGAACATGAACTTCAAAGCACTCCAAGCTTGTTGCTTTGGGATAGATATAAACTCCTTTTATTTTCTAATCTGCTGATCTGAGCAGACTCTAATCGTTTTTTGAATAAGGTAGTTTGATTGAAAAGTGACTGGAGCAAACACTAAATGTTGAAAATGATTCGAAATAACAGCGATCTCTCAGTTTGATTCATGAAT